TAGGTAGGGTTAAAGTAGGGTGTCTGATACTTAGTTTTTGTTTGGAGTAGAGGAGATAAAATAGAAGACAAAATCAGCACATTTTCCTCCTGTGTGTATGTATGTATGTTTGTCTGTGTGACTGTGAGGTTGAGCTACCTGACAGAAGGTGTGTTTATATGTATGTTTGTCTGTGTGACTGTGAGGTTGAGCTACCTGACAGAAGGTGTGTTTATATGTATGTTTGTCCGTGTGACTGTGAACCCGATGATAGTAAAACCTCCTCGCGGAAGGATATCTCCTTCCCCGGAGGTAAAAAAAGAATAAAATGTTGAAACTGTTCCGAACTGGACATGGTTATTTGTATTCTTATAGCCAACGTTGTGAAATTATGAGCAAACATTAACCCTAAACAGTACACCTGGGGTCCGCGCGGACCACAGCACTATATATTCTGTAATATCTTTTTTGTTTCTTTTTTTTGTTGAAATTTTAGGTAATTGTCACCCACAAAGTTGTCCCTCAATACAGTGCAGAAAACTCCGTTTCCCCCATTTATAAAAAAAATATATCTGATTTTCTTTTGGGGTCCGCGCGGACCCCAGCCGGCTTTCGATCAAAATGGATACACTGGCGTTCTTATGCATAAACTTATTTCCGTTTTTATATATTTTTCTGCAGTTATCGTATGGCTACCAACTTTTCATAGAATGGTGTAGTAACAGAATTAAATTTTAACAACTTTGGTGTAACTATGACGTCATATGACGTCAGAGCTAATAATAATATGGTCCGCCATATTGGATTTTGACCAATGAAGTCATCAAATTAGCATATTTTATGAATATGAAATGATTTAACTTTAATTACGTAAGATGTTATTAATGTTAGAAAGGAAGTGTAATTTGATGATATAAACCCAGATTTTTAATTTTTTTAATGTTTAAACCAAAATTACTGATATTTTAAAAAATGCCTGTCAGAAACCCGTTGCCATGGCAACACAAAAAGCATTAACTTGCTAGTATTTAACTAATATGATTTTTTTTCCAGATACATTTTATGAAAGGTCACCAAATTTGATGCTTCTAGAGCAAGCCGTTCAAGTGCTATCTAAGATTAAAGTTGGGCCTCAAAAGCCCCTTCGGTCTGAATAGGGTTTAAAAATTGGGTATCCTTCTTTTCTTCACCAAGAAATAGGAAAAGTTCAAAAAGCATGATTTTTGTATGCAATGTTGACATACAGGTTCACACATCAATTTGCGAAACAATTGAACTGGTAGCTAGCATGTTGATAATTCCTAAAAATTAGCAAAAAACTGTTTTGGGGTCCGCGCGGACCCCAGGTGTACAGATTAATCAGTCCGGGAAGGTGTACTGTTAAGGGTTAAACATATACATGTACAAGCCAATATAACCATTCAACATCATTATTACAACGTCCACTTTACAATTATCTTCTTGTTTTAGTTTTTCCCGCTTTCATCTACTACATGTAATGACCGATATATATATCTCGCCGACAAAATTGCAATATCCGACAAGCCGTCAGAAGCTACATAATTCTGGATCTGGGTAATCAGGTTTGTCAACTTTGCCCTTTAGCCCTCGATTGGAGTGACCTGTGATTACTATTGTCCGCCATTTTGAAATGTACGAGGGATGTCATTTCTCTCCAATCTGAGGTGATTTCCATCTTACTTCGACTCTAAACCTTCTCTGGGCGGTTTTGAAAGACAGGTAAGGCCTTTGTTGACCTCCTGCACTAGCTGTGTCGCGTTACCACAGCAGATACTTTAAAATGCGTGAAATATCTATGCTACATATGTATATCATGATTAACTGGAGGGCACATCGATACTGATACTGAATAGTTTTCCAAAAACTAAATAATTAGGCCACAGCAAGTAATTTTTATGGATGACATCAGCGTGCACATTAATTTTCGCCTGATTTTGGAAAAACAAACACAAGAAACTTTGCCAAAAATGGGCAAAGATGTCTGTTGCCATGCCGGAAGGTTGATGGCAGATGACTATGCAGAGGAGACAAGAAACGGCTCTGATTTCATGTTTTCTTTTTACTGTGATGCATTTTAATGTGTGATGCTGGCTGCGTATATGTTATGTTCCCACTGAATGAAAACCATTTGTACAATGATCAAAATCTGAACATGTAGGAACCTTGTTTTTTTCGGCCCGCCTTGTTTTTTTTTTTCCCCCTTTTTGGCTTTAGCGGGGGATGTCATCCATAAAATTTACTTGATGTGGCCTTACTGGTCTTTCCAAACGTACTAGCCATGGGGTTCGTAGGAATACATTAGAATATAGTAGGTTTATGGAAATATTATAATAATATTAAATTTATGATGTTTAATTTTTGTTCTTAGAAAATTATGGACCGGAGAAGCAGTGAGATTCCTGTGGACGAGCTGCCAACAGTGCACCCCGGGAACCAGACAAGCAGCAGCGAGGACCCGGCAACAGACACGGGAGGACAGCAGGACAAAGCAGAGGACATTCTATCGGAAGAAACCCACAGGGTAAACTCTGTCCATCCTCCCCTACAGAGCCAAACAGAGCAGACGGACGGGCCTGTGGTACAACGTACTATACACAAACCCTACAAATGTGACCAGTGTGAGTTTTCTGCTTTATGGAAAGCCCGTCTGAAAGAACACATGATGAAACACACCGGAGAAAAGCCCTACATGTGTAGGGACTGCGGGTACAGATCAGCCTACAAGTCTCGCCTAACTGTTCATATGAGAAAACATACAGGTGAGAAACCCTTCAACTTCAAGTGTGACCAGAGAAGCTGTGAGATTCCTGTGGACGAACTGCCAACTGTACATCCTGGGAACGAGACAAGCAGCAGTGATGACCTGGCAACAGACACGGGAGGACAGCAGGACAAAGAAGAGGACATTATATTGTGTCCTGTGTGACTATTCTGCTTTATGGAAAGCCCGTCTGAAGGAACACATGCCTAAACACACCGGAGAAAAGCCCTACATGTGTAGGGAGTGCGGATACAGGACAGCCTACAAGTCTCGCCTAACTATTCATGTAAGAAAACACACAGGTGAGAAACCATTCAAATGTGACCAGTGTGACTATTCTGCCGCTGAGAAAGGCTCTTTGAACAAACACATGTCAAAACACACTGGAGAGAAACCCCACATGTGCGGGGAGTGTGGATACCAGACAACAGACTCTTCTAATCTATCAAAACACATGAGAACACATACGGGGGAGAAGCCCTACAAATGTGACCAGTGTGAATTTTCTGCTGCACAGAAAGCGAATTTAGACATGCACATGGAGAAACACACTGGAGACAAACCCTACATGTGTGGGGAGTGTGGATACAGGACAGCCTATAGGTCTTGCCTATACACGCATATGAGAATACATTTAGGTGTGAAACCTTTCAAATGCAGCCAGTGTGACTATTCTGCCACACATAAAGGCCATTTACATGAACACTGTATGGCCAAGCACACTGGAGACAAACCCTACATATGTGGATTATGTGGGTACAAGACGGCCTACAGGTCTAGCATAAATGTACACATGAGAAAACATAAAAAGGAGAAACCCTACAAATGTGACCAGTGTCTCTTCTCTGCTGCAACTAAGAAGACTTTAAACCAACACCTTGCTACACACACCGACGATAAACCCTACAAGTGTGACCAGTGCCACTATTCCGCTGCACAGAAGCCGGCTTTAATCAAACACAAGGCTAAGCACGCTGCTGAGAAACCCCGCATGTGAAGGTAGTGCGGATGACATTGTACATGTATCTCGTCTGATGACCTGCATAGTATCAACCATACAGGAAATAAACCGCACAACCAGTTCAGAACTGTCTGACTTTTAGTGGAGCATACATATGAAAATGTTACAAATGAAACAGACGTGACCAGATCTTCACATGGTTGAATATAAATATTCAAACATCATAAACCTTCTTCTTTTTCGGATCGTGTAAACAGAGGGTGACAACTTTTACTATCTAACCACAAGAGCAAGTATGCTTTTGAAAAGAAAAACCTTCAAACGTGAATAGTGTGTCATCTGTCAATGTGTCTGACATATGTATGGCTTTGATGTCACTGTAAATAAAGATGAGAGTTATGATACTTGCTTCTGTATATGTTGTGTTAATAATGTTCTACATTAATCGTATTTTAGATAGGATCATGGAATACTGATGTTGCATTACAATGACGAAGAAATGCACTCGATCAAAAACACTTGTTTGCCTTTCTAACATTAGACTTACCCATTTTGAGAAGTGCAGCAGGCAGTTTACTGTATAGTCTTTACCAGACTAACTACCATGGCTATATATTTGCCAGGGGAGTTTGGCCGCCTTGTAGGTTTGACTGGCCGCGCAGTCGGAGGGAAAGAAACTACCTCCCCGCGGCCGGACTCCCTTTGCCAATTTTACTATGATAATCATGTTTTTTGCCGAATTCTATGATCCGTATTCCTGTAGAAAGGTCTGGTGGAGGCTAAGTTTACTGTGTCGTCTCATCTAAAGGAATACATGTGGATTCACACTGTTGAAAAACTGTACAGATGTGAGGAGTGTGGCAGGCATTTCACTACACCAGGGTTGCCATGTCGGATGGACTTCGTCTACGAGGTGCAAGACAATGAAAGTAGTTGGCGGACGCTGGAGAGTGAATTTATAACGCCCGCTAATTAGATGCCGGTAGATTTCAATTGGCCGACATCCTGTCGCCTGATTGGTTCTCTGGCCCAAAGCAGACCTTGCAATTGGTCAGTTTTCCGGGATTTGCAGCAAGCTCGCCACTTTTGGAGCGGTACGCAGTAAAGTGTAAACTAGGGCACTGTAGAATGGTTATATTGGCTTGACAAGTGTGCACGCTAGCCTACTAGATAGCTTACACCAAGCACACTCGGGACTTCTGAAAAAGTCAGTGAAGACGGCTCATCTAGCCTGCAAAGAAGCGACTGGGCTTACGACGCCATGGGATGTCTTGACGACGATACAAGTTACTCGCAGCTTATAAACTCCACTACGCTGCATTAAACCATCAGAACTCGAGCCTATGTCAAAATGTGCAATATATAGGTCGTCATTTATTGTTGGAGGGAGGTGTGTATGTGTGTGGGACCGTTTTGTGAGAGAATACAGTTCTTTTGGGGATATTTGGATGGCCCTGAAAAGGGCCGGGTTTTGTTGGGATGATGCGTCCGTCAGATGATCCTTTAGCCACCGAAGCCGTACAGGGTGCGACCTTGGCGTTTGAGAGCGTAGACAACGTCCATGGCGGTGACCGTCTTGCGCTTGGCGTGCTCGGTGTATGTGACCGCATCGCGGATGACATTCTCGAGGAAAACCTTGAGAACGCCTCGGGTCTCCTCGTAGATGAGGCCGGAGATTCGCTTCACGCCGCCACGACGGGCCAGACGACGGATAGCTGGCTTGGTGATGCCCTGGATGTTGTCTCGAAGCACCTTACGGTGACGCTTGGCGCCTCCCTTTCCCAGACCCTTGCCTCCCTTGCCGCGTCCAGACATGACAGATACGATACTCTTCTCGATCAGAAACAGAACAAAGAATGAATGACTGACGGAGCCACATTAGTAATCGCCCTGCGGACCTGCGCGGAGTCCTTGCCCCCACCACAGCTAGCCAATGGGAAGACGCCATCCTCAACCCGAGCAAGACAATGCCATATATGGAGGATTTTCTGGCAACAAGACAAACATCGTCGGGAAAATGTAATTACATAAAGCTAAAACAAAACAAAAAGCAATGAGAAGAATTCGCCCCAGACACAGCTAGTCAGCGATATCTTATCAAGAAGAACAAAGTAGCCCGCGATGTAGACGACTGTGCCCCCCCACACACACACACACACAAACGAAACACATGCACACACAAAAACACAGATATAAGTTATGTATATGTAAACACACAAACAAACTGTTTACTCGTATGTTTAGACAGGAAAAGAACGCCGATCAACGGACAATCTATTGTTCGAAAGAACGTCACAGGCGACATTTGTTCCAGAAGGCCTTGTTCGACATGAAAGAATGCTCTCAGACTTTTATTACGTCAGAATAAACTTGTCATTGTTTGTCTGTTTTTTTTTAACTTTTCCGTGTCCGCCACGGCACTTTATTAAATACAAATGTTCATTGATACATGTATGTCATAACAAATTCTCAGCAAAGCTTAGTGTACAAAGTGTACTCATGTGTATATGGAACAGTAATAAAGGAAGGTATTAACTACATCATCTTTCTGCAGTTTTCTGTGGTCATCTTTATGTCTTAACCAGGACACATAGATGGCATACTTAGCGATTGTTAATATGTTACATTCTTCTGAACTTAGCAAAACTTCATCGTGCGTTACATCCTTGACAACATTAACTCTATTCCAGAAGTTCTTAAGTCTATCGCATTTCACAAACATATGTTCGTAGTTTTCCACAGTATTACAAATTACACAGTTATTACTATAAATGTTTCCTGATTCGTCTTTTACATTCCATTTGTTAAGTAAGTACCTACAGGGTAGTATCTTGTGCAGAATTTTAAAGTTTACTTCCCGCAGCTTATTGTGTTTAATGTTACAAGTTTGAAATTTCCAGATTTTCTCCAATCCAGATTAGGGTTACTGAGTCCCAGTATGCTTGTGCGGTAGGTTTAACACTGTTGTAAGTCACATACGTGGAATACAAAAATCTACTAGTAAATACATCAGGGATTTTACATTGTTCATTATACCAAAGTGAAATGTTTTCATGACATGGATTGACAATATTTTCTTCAGTGAGCCATCTCCGCCCTACTGACATTTTAACACTGGCGTACTCACATAACCAGTTATTCCTTAACAGTAAGCCTGTCGAATAACGATTCAGACGTAATAAAGTCTGAGACACTAGTATTACATATGTCTTTAACAAAATAATACCACTGTCTATCCAGTGTTTGTAATACAAAGTTTTGTTATTCAGCCTAAAATTCTCGTTGCACCAGATTATTTCATTCCTTACATCAGCAAAATCAGTTTTTCCACCTCCCAGTTCATGCCAAGAGAGGATTACATCTCTGTAGAATGGGGGGACGGTTAACAAAGAAGGTGCATCAGTTTTTTGTTTGAAATACTAGAAAGTCTTTGCCTAACTTGTCAATAAAGTGCAAGGGTATAAGTCGCCACCTACATATACTGTTTGGGTCCTGTGGAGTTTTCATAAGCCTTCTGACCCAAGCAGCTTGTAGGCTCTTATACTTTGCATATATATTTAGCATCTTCAATCCACCATCATGATAGTCTGAATATAAGGTTTTTCTCTTTATTCTATCTGTTTTCCCACCCCAAAGGAAATGGAAGCAAGCTTTCTCTAACCTCTTCGGCACCCATAATGGAGTGGGTATAGAGGACATCTTATAAACAATTTGGGATATTCCTAAGGCTTTAATAATCAATATTTTCCCATATAAGGTGAGTTTCCTTCTCTGCCACATTCGTAGTAGCTTTTCAATTTTTTCAACAGTTTTTTCCCAGTTTAGAGTCTCACATTCCTCCTCAGACAAACCAAAGAAGATGCCTAGTGACTTAATAGGTTTGTGTGGCCAATTGATTCCGAAGGGAGAATCCCTTCTTCCTCTATTGGCTCCCACCCACATACCTTCACATTTTTTACGGTTTAGAGTGGGACCTGCCACAAGACTAAACTCATCCACAATCGCTAATGCCTCTCTTATCGAATCATCGCCAGATAGCGTAAGAGTAGTATCATCTGCTACTTGGCTAATCTTTATTTCTAGTAAGCTATCACTATTCATTACTTCAATGCCTTTAACTGTGTCTGTTTGTCGTATCGTCGTAACAAGGATTTCTACTACAAGATTGAATAACAGGGCAGATAGAGGACAACCCGGATTGCCATCCAGCATTTACTATACAACTTTCTATGTCAGTGTACATGGTTCTGACCATTGACATAAATGTGGGTCCAAAACCAAACTTGGCTAAAGTTTTAAGCATAAAGTTCCAATGTACCGAGTCAAAGGCTTTTTCAAAATCTAGCCAAACGACTGCACAAGGTAGGTTATAAGTATTAGAGTAATAAATGACGTCCTGTACTAATCTTATGTTCTGTCCAATAAATCTGTGCTTAATGTAAGCAGTTTGGTCTTCTGAAATCAACTTTGGCAGGAAACCCTGTAAACGTTTGGCGAGAACAACAGCTAATATCTTATAATCAGTATTTAGCAAACTTATAGGCCTCCAATTGGATAAATCAGTCATATCGCCCTTTTTGTAAATAAGTTTCAGTAAAGCTCTCTTTCGAGTAACAGAGAGGCATTTGTTTCTATTGATTCAGTTAACGCTTCGAAGACTAAATCTCCTACTTCATTCCAAATTTCAATAGAATTCAGAC